AGAGAGAGAGGGGTGGGTGGGTGGGGGTTCCTCATACTCTAATTGAGTTCAAAAGTTGACTGGGCCGACAAGCCTCTCTCGCTTTTATGTCCACTTGAATCATGGTGACAGTGTGTGTGTGTGTGTGTGTGTGTGTGTTTGTCTCTGTGTGTGTTGCAGCAGACCATACTTCAGCAGCAGCAAAATTTGAGCCAGATCCTCTCTCCCTTCTCCCACTCTCTCTCTCTCTCTCTCTCTCTCTCTCTCTCTCTCACCATCAGCTGTGATTACTTTGGTAAAACAGCGGTGCGTCGCAGAGAACCAATTTTCCTAATGCACAGCCTTCACACACACACACACAGCATGGTTATTGATGAGATAAATGGGGAGGGGGCAAGAAGGGGGCACACACATTGCTGGGAAATGGGCAGAGAGGGAGAAAGAGAGTAGAGGATAGTGGGAGCAAGAGAGAAGGATGAGCTAGACGAGGACAAAGAGGGACAAAGAGGGAGACAGATAAGAAAAAGGAACGTTGAGAATAAGGAAAGAAAGAACAGGAAAAGGAATGATGAATATGACTGTGTCCTGGAAATGGGGCAGGATGTCCATTTAAAGAGCTAAAAAGCAAGGAACATAGAGAGGGGGACAAGGAGAGAGGAAGGATGCAGGAGGGACTATTGAGATCACCTCAGTTCTTATGGACAACGGACTAGTTTGATTCGACGGCCAGTGGATGAAAAAACAAGAAGTGTAAAAGTAAAATGTTCCTTCAGGATAGTTTTACTTTTTGTCAGCTGCTGAAAGGAAGTACGATATAAATAGAGAGAAATACAGATAAGATAGGAGCAATAATGCTGATCTATGAAATACTCCCTAGATAGGAAGCAAAGTCAGCAATATCATTCCTCGTGCTTTAGTGAACTGGTGACAGGAATAAGGTAATGGATGCGAATGAGTACATTCTCCACAAAGTCTATCATCTCTAAAGCATCAAAAGGACAAACGAAGACTGGATGTCTGGGGTTCTTCATATAGAGGAATGCAGCCTAAATGACTCAAAATCCTTTGTGGCAAAGGCTGATGTTTAAACTAAGTTCTCCTAAGAGGAACCAACTCATCCTATATGAAGATAACTGGAACATTTTGAAGGTTGTGTTGCTTGCTACACAACACTTCCCATGTATGCTGCCATCGTTTTCTCATAGGTTTTGAGCTGTTTGTCTTCCGAAACCAGTGGGACATTTGTGTTTTCAGTGGCTCTGGAGAGATGGCTCTTTTGAAGAGGAGGAGCCTGGAAATACTACATTCTGGCTTTGCCAAGGCAATTAACTGACCGTTGAAAGTATCTGTGCATCCATGGCCAATGGAGGTTTATGAGGAGTGCCAGGTAAACTATTTTGAGAATAGCCCAGGAATGGTAATCTGTTTGCTCCTGTATTCAAAGATCTCTATAAGGCTTGGTACCCATCAGATACCTGTGCCTCGGTAGACCAAACTGAAGCTTGCATACCCACCAGAATTTTATATGCAAGGTTAAATATTCACAAGAAAGCTCTTTTTAAATTCTGGTACTCCTCTTTTGGTTTCTATATCCTCCGGACCTCTGACTTTAACGTTAAATTATCAACCAGGAATTCCTCTTGAGGGAAAATCTTCACCTGAAGCCTTTTGATAAACATCAGTGACACCTCTTTTTCAAGTTGCATTTTCTGTATGACATTATATGTTTAAAGTTCAGTATCGATGGGAACCTTTTTTTTGAGTTTGAATATCCATCAGAACCCCTTTTTAAGGGCCTTTACTCTACAGTCCACAAGGAACCTCTCTATAAAGTCAATTCTCCAGCTGGAATTTCTTATTATAGCACATCTCTTAAATTGTTTCAGGATGTACCTCTAAGGATCTCTCTGGAAAATTATTAACCCAAATCCATGCCATATAAAATCCAGGAACCTGTATTTAAGGATCTATATCCATCAAGAACATCTCTTTTTAAAAGTTTTTTAAAGATTTGATGAGTGATGAAAAAATTTGTTAGCAAAAAACTTTGTTGTGTGTAGTTTGCACTAAGCATTTACAGCAAAGCAACTCGGAGCAGGAGCACTGCAGCATGGGACTCAGCTGCTTCAAGTCCTGGAAAAATGACAGTACAGGCTACAAAGGTGAGACACACATGCATACCATCAATGTATTATTTGTTCATCCCTGTGTCTGTGTGAGTTGCCCTTGAGTGGCATCTCTTAAATGCTGACTCAGGGCCTTTGGGGTCCTATCTGAGGTGACAGTGTGTGTGTGTGTGTGTGTGTGTGTGTGTGTGTGTGTGTGTGTTCTTCATGCATATGTGTGTATTTTTGTGTGACTTTGAGGAGGAAAGACTGGAGAACAGTGGTACACAGGAAACAAGAGAGGAAATTGTGTTCACAAGTCTGTGTTAAATTTTAAGATGGCAACTTGGTTTAAGGTTTGGGTTAGATTAAGGTTAGGGTAAGGTTTAATGTTGGGCAAGTTGTGGTTATGGTCAAGGTTACGGTACATCTCCAGGATATGAATACAAGTCAATGACAGATGGCAGATTTTCATTAACACTGAGACAGCCCCCCTAAAACATTCATATTTGTGTAAATGCAGGTAACAGAGACGTGTTGGCCAGCCCGGGCTCATATTTCTTCCTGTCTAACAGTGCCGGTCAGGGTGATGAGTGGCTGAAGAGCCTCAACAAGGGAGTCTGGATCCCTTTTACAGGTCCACACAATACAAACACACACTGATCCATCAATGTGTATTTGGATGCTTTCCCTAAACGTGTTTTCCAGTGGCGCTTTTCTCTGAATTTGTACAACTCATGGAATATAATATTGTTCTGTGCCTAGTGGATGTTTAAACACAAGTCAGTAATTACTGTATAATTACTGTATTTCTTACTTTTTGGATCTTGTGTTTTATATTTACAAAAAATCAATCAAAAAACTGATCATTACCATATTCTGATTTTTGTGATCCTGGATATATTATAGAGACAGCAGTAGAGGTGCATGTTGTCTGACACATGCACTTTTTTTCAGTGTCATAGGTTTTCAATGACCTGATTGTTTCTGACTGGATGAAGTGAACGCTGGTCTCAGAGAAGAATCTCATTAAAATTATTCCCTTTTTTAGGGGTTTTTGGTCAGCGTCTGGAGGAGACAGTGCTGTATGAGCGACGTTATGGGATGCGTTTGGTTCCACTGGTGGTGGAGCAGTGTGTCACCTTCATCCGGGACCATGGCCTGCATGAGGTGGGCTTGTTCCGCCAGCCGGGACAGGCCAGTCTGGTCAGAGAGCTACAGGAAGCTTTCGATGCAGGGGAGAGACCATCGATTGACAGGTATAATCTGTCTGCTTTTTTGCATGTAGGCCTACTATTTTTTGATCACTTGTTTCTCAAAGCATTTGATTAAAAAAAACAAAAACAAAAAAAAAACATTAATTCGTTGTGTGTTTTCCCAGCAGTAGCACAGATGTCCACACTGTGGCATCACTGCTGAAGCTTTACCTCAGACAGCTGCCGGAGCCTCTGGTTCCTTACAGCTACTACCAAGACTTCCTGCTCTGTGCACAGAAGCTGAAGAGTGACCGTACATTGGTACCTGCAGCTCTGCTGTCAAACAGTTCATTAGTTTAAGGGCAACTTGACACCTCCCAAAAGTCTAGGCAGACCTCCAACTTCTCACCTTGCTGCAGTGATGTACAAGTGTACTCCAGTATCCTCTTTACTTCTCACTTTGTATTTTTGCTTTCTTTCTTCTTTCTTTCTGGTTTCCTCACTCCCGTCCTCTTACTCTTCCTCCCTTCACCATCCCTCAGGGTTTAGGGGAGTTGAGGAATCTTCTTAGTGGGTTGCCATTTGCCAACTTCAACCTACTCAACTTTATTTGCCAGTAAGACCCGAACTACCTTGTTATTTAGACTGTAGCTAAGTTTGCATTCACATGTTGCATTGTGAGAAAACCTTTAGAAAACATGGATGTAAATGTTAAAATCAAAGAGTGTTACAAAAGATGGAGCAGAGTTTTGGTGTATATTATACAGAACTATACAATAGTGGTTGAAGTGCATCATAACTCATAAATAACTTTCAGTTAAAGTGAAGGAAATGAGGCTTTTAAACCTTGACAGGAAGAACTTTATATAGAGAATTGTGAACACTTGAGAGAAATGATCAAAAAGTATTAATGAGCCTGTGTTTTGTGTGTGTACAGATTTCTAAATGAGGTCCAGAGTTACTCTTATAGTAACAAGATGAATGACCAGAATTTGGCCACTGTGTTTGGGCCAAACATCCTCCGAGCCAAAGCTGAAGACCCACAAAGCATTATGGGAGGTAGGCAAACAAACTGACCCACGACACAGCATGTATATGAATGACAAATTATTCTTTTTGTTTCAACATTATGGTCTGTTAAAAACATTGACATAGCATCTGTGATAATGTGTGCAGACCAGGAGACATTTAGGAACATGGATGTTGGATATCATCTTCTACAAATAAAAACTTATACTATAAGTTAAGTATTTAAATATTTATATCCTGTCATTACAAAGATATTTTATGGAGCAGGAGGGCTCTGTAACAATACAAGTGCTTACTAATGAGCTTTAAGGTGTCATAAGTGAAATTTGAAAGCACAGCTCAATTGAAACATTAAAGAATTAAAATACCATAATAACATTTTTCTAGTTTATGACAATAAGTATTGAAAGGGTTCTTTGAATAATATTCTATTTATGCCCTAGGTGCAGCTTTGGTCCATGTGCTGATGTTGGAGTTGATCAGAGAGCATGAATCTCTGTTTGCCAAAATCCCACCACCCATGTCCACCCGTCTACCTGGAGGTTCACATGCATCACCAAATGCTCTGAGGCAGCCTCATCTTCACTCGTTGCCCTACCTTCGCCAGATGTCTCTGCCTCTCATTGCAGACAGCTCCAGAGATCCTGGACAGCCCAACAGAGATACACAGAACCCCAGGTACGACAGACTTTTTTTCCAGCAAAGCCTCACCAACAACACTCATGACAACATAGAAACAGAAAATGACATCATTCACAGAAACAGAGAGAGAGAGAGAGAGAGAGAGATAAGATCACCATTCACAGAGGGGAGACAAAGGCGCCCTAATAAGACAGAAAGGTGAGGGCACCATTAACACAAATGAAGTGAAATGAGAGGTGATTCCTCATTTCATTCACTCTATCTTTCCTCTTTCATTCAGTCCTGAGCGTACATCTCCCATCTCTTCCTTGTCCAGGTGTTGTTTGGGCCTTATAGTAGACTCAGATGACATTACACCTGAGACAAATCACCACTACTGTGTTTGTCCTAAACTTGCCTAACCAACCCTATATCACATACTGTTTATGATGTGGTTAGATGTGGTCCTTGTTTGATGTAAAACAAAACAAAACAAAACAAAAAAACAATCTGAGTGGATTGTAACCACATTGTAAGGGATTACCTTGTTTTGTGTAGGTGTATCCATTCAACTGCAGCCAAATCAGACTTGTCCTCTGGCCAAAAGAGGCTTCTTGGCCATCGCTACACCTCCTCCCACCCAGAGAACTGCTTCTATCCCCTTCCCTCCTCCAGTCAGCCCCTTCAACACCACTCTGACAGACACAACATAGATTATCACCAGCACCAAGGACCATCTTCTGTAAATGTTCAGGCCTCTACAACCAGCCTCCAACAACAAGAAACACTGCCAGATAACTCCAAGCCAAGATGGATGCTTGTTGGCTTGGCGAAGGTCTGGCCAGGCCCAAAAGAGGCTGGTACTGGGTTCAGGAGTTCCAGTGCTGCAGAAAAAGAAGGTACAGTCAGTGGAGGCAGCAGTGAGGCTCAGGAGGACAGCACCCCTTCTGCCTATGACAACCTAGAGAGAGTGTCTTTATGTAAGAGGATGGACGACGGCACCTATGGACATTCTGAGACCAATGACCTAGTAGGCCATATTGGAAATTGTGAAGAAGAGGCAGAGCTAGATGAGGCGAGACAGACAAGGGACTCCTCCTCTTCATGGTCCTCCTGTGAGGTTCTACCATTGGACGAGAGTGATTCTGTGGGGATTGTTAGTCCTGACGTGTCACCTGAGAGACTGAGAAAGTTATCTTCACGTTTGCTTGCAGAAGAGGAACACATTGATGATGATCCTGAAGACAAAAACTACGGTGATAATGATGAAGATGACAACAATAATGATGGTGATGATGATGTTCACCACTCTAACTCCCTGGCCTCCTGTTCTGTACCCAGTGACAGTCCTCTCAGTACGGGCAGCTCAGATGTGTTCCTCCCCCCTTGTCCTCCAGACACTCAGGGTCCTGAGCCTCAGTCACAGTCCAGCGATGCTCACTCACTCCTGGCTGAACTACAACAGCAGATGGCCAGGCAGAAAGCTGAGTACCAGGCCAGGATACAGAGGTGAGACAGCAACACAAGAAAGAACATTGCATCCTCTCTTCCTCAACAGTACTCCCACACTGTAAACACATCACTCATTCACACAAACCTTTACTTGAGCTTGGTAATCATTTCTAGTGAAGATCATGTTTTCTTTTAATGACGTCAAAGTTATCATTATGCAGGTGTACCTGCAGATTCAGTGTATGGCAAGAGCATATGGACACCTCTTTCTTGTATCAACATGACAACGCCTCTATTCACAAAGTCAAGTGCAATTTACCCATTTTGGTAGGGATGAACTTGACTGGCCTGCAGACCCCTGACCTTAACCCCATCCAACCAGAACTAGTGACTGATCTCACAAATGCTCTTGGAAGCAAATATCTGTAGCCAGGTTTCAAACTTTGCTTGAAAGTGTTCCCAGAGGAGTGGAGGCTGGTATGACAGCCCACAGTTTTGGGACGAGATACTTAAAAAGTTTCCACTTAGTTGCACTGTGGAGACAAGTGAAGGTACATTTCAAACTGTAGGTGGAAACACTAAATCCTACATCAGTACAACCCAACTTATATGATAAATGAATAGTTAGTGTTTGCCTAGAGCCTGTGTATGTACTACGGGGTATGTGTTTGCTGCAGGTTGGAGCGCTGTAATGACTTCCTTGAGCGGCAGGTTGCAGTACTGCGGGTCAACCTGGAACAGCAGAAGCGCAGCCAAAGTGTTGCCGAAATCAAGATTCGCAACATGAAACGTGCCAAAGCTGATGCCGACCACCGAAACACCACGCTGCAAAGGGAGATGGAGCTGTTCTTCCAGATGTATGGAGAGATCAGACGAAGAGGAGGAGACAAAGGAGGAAGAAGAGGGAGTCTCTGAAAATGGATAGAAAGGGAGAGAGAGCATAACTGTTTAAAGTGTATAGATATGTCACAGGGGCATTAGACAGGGAGGTTTGTGGAACAGAGCTTGATGAAAGGGATTGATAAATAAACAGTGTGAAAGAGGGAGTGTAAGATGATCTTAACATGAGATCCAACTCCTCTGATCTGAACATTAAGGCAACATATCCTAAAGGAAAATAGTTTGGGCAAGAAAAGAAAAATAGCAGGCAATCTAAAGAAATAAGTTGAGTCATTTTAACCGGTTAGCCTCAGACCGAGCTGGTTAAGTTCACCACTTCCAGAAGAAGACTAGAAAGTCAGAGGTAACATATTATTCAAAATATACCCAGGCCTTTTCTGAGAAACTAAATTCCATTCCGAGCTGGTAATTAGTATTGTAAAGCAAACCCGGTGCAGAATTTCAAGATATCAGAACTTATGCATTGATTAGGCTACACATTTTTGTCACAGACTGCTGTTGTGTGGTCACAGCGGTTGACAACCTACAAAACCTACCTACACAACTGTTATCAGGTAAGATACATTGATTACAATATTATTGCAGTTGACGAGACCTGCAACTGGAGTTCAAATGCCAGGATTCCAGCGCAGAGTCAGTCTATTGGTGTTTTGTGGCCACATAACAAAGGGAACACTAGCTCTGGTCTATACCCTCTTTATGTTACTGTATATTGTTTTAAGATGTTTGCCGCCCCCCCTCCTACAGTGTTAATGTGCACTGCTCAGGCTATCTCAGACTTGTTCCCCAGGACACTCTCAGCAACAAGTGCATTTTGTTTCTGGCAGCTTTTGATGTTTAGGGTCACAGCAACTGGGGCAGTTCATAGTCTGGTCAAGGTGGGTCTCAAGAGCAACTGGGACTATGGGAATAAGTGTGGATTCCCTTATGAGAAAATGGTTTTCAGTTTGCTATCAGTCTGGGACAGGTAAATCATGGCCAAGTGTGTGTAGTCTGCATCAAGTTTGACAGAGGTAAAGGCTTTGATTTTCTACCATCTTAATACAATAACAATCCTTCAAGTTAGAATCCAATGTGGGAATTTCAGATTCAAAAATTAAATTTACAATACAAAAAGTGTTGATAAAGTTAAGGGGCCTGAACATTCTGGATCCACGGTACATTACTTGAGAGAATATTTATAAAAAATAAAGGTATCCTGTTGTGCTTTGTCAAACACAGGGGAATCTGTTACTAAAAAACAAATTTTCCTTCTAGAAATAAAACACTGACTCTTGTTTTTATGATGAGAATGTAACATTTATGTTCAAAGTCTAAACTGTTCTAGCAGAGAAAAACTGTACAGAGACTGTCAAGGGTTACATCTCAATCTCCAACTAGAAAAGAATAGTGGAACAGAAATAGTAATTCAGTCAGTCTGAAGTACAGTTGCACTGATGAGATCGACACCTGATGCTCAAACCAAGGAGATATTCAAAGGGAACATGGTCACACTTCAACACAAAGCACTTGTGAACACAAAGCTTTAAACATGACAAAATAAACAGATTAGAAACAGTCATATTTACAGTGGTTTTTTTTTCCTGTACCCGAATTTAGAAGAGTTCACTCAGGATGAAAAGGACCATATCAGCTAACACCACAGCAGAGTTACACATGGCAAATTAAATGGACTTGAAATTTTTACTCCATAAAACAGAAACTCTATCACTCCCGGCTTACACATGGGATCTATTACAAGCAAATAGACCATCTAATATTTAAAGTGCAAAATTAGCTACATTTCATTTAACAGGTGAACTGTAGCACTCCATTACGCTTTGCTAAGCTTTCTTACAAAAACCTTGTATAAAAAAAACAAAACATTTATTAACAGTAAACTAGCAGTGTAGAAATATCTGACACCTCTATAGTTAGACAACCCACGGACAAGGAATGAATTATAAGGAACGTGAGGCTGGAGAATGTTTCTGTGCACTGTGACCACTGAAAATTAACCTCTGCCAACGTCTCTGTCAAAGCCAAAGCTCTGTTTCTGAGTGAGACAGCTGTTACGCACTGAAACCCATCACATGAATCCTTCATAGTGGCTGGGCACTTCTTTCTAATAATCCCAAAGAAACAAGTTCTGATGAACACCAGCCAATTTAAAAACAAACAAACAAACAAAAAAAAAAATCTGGTACTAAACAAGTACGTGGAATGTTTCAGTGAGCATTTCAATAATTTCCTGAGAACTGTTTGTTTCAGATTAGTTTTGTTCTGTTGATTTGACTCACACCAAACTACATTTAAACTGGTTAGACCTATTCTTCCCATCCTGCATAGTGACTTGCATATTGAAGTCAACAAATGAAATCCAGATGTAAAGAATATCAACAATAAAGAGGCTGTTTTCTCTTATTAGGGTACATAATGGAGGACATGAGAGTTTGGATCAGGTTGGATAATCAGGTTAGTTTGCAGTTGGAAAAAGTGCATTTATAGAGAATTATTGTAAAGGAGAATCAGCTAGACCAAAAAAATAAAAATAAATAAAATGTCAGTAGCTCTGCATGTCATCTAGACTCAGGGGATGATTTATGCTGAATTTGCTGTTCCAGCCAACGTTAATCCCAACATGCTGCTGCTAGATAGAACAGTTAAAAGCGTGGAAAGAGAAGAGAATGGTCAATGTGATTTTACAGCCAAGCAAGGCAGGAAATGCCAACAAGCAGAGCAGATGGGATGTTTTCTAATTTCAAGACAGTGCACATGGTGCAGCTGCTGCTAAACGTCCCATTAAATGGTTTTGAGGTGGTGTGGACCGCAAAATGGATGCTGATAATAGCTGCTCACCTCCTCCTGACTTGCTAAGAGGACAAACTAATGTCACTGCTGCTAGCAATCATTAGCTTAAAGTATGATTACAGTCTCACATCTTAGTTTTCTGGCTTTGCCTATCAAAGTACTTTGGGATCTAGCAACATGCCAAAACTGGAGCAGCAAGGTCCAGTAGCTTTGCCACATTAGCTACTACTTCATTTGGAGACATAATTGAAAGTGAAAACATCTGAAATATCAGTAACAATCCTTCACTGCACAGAAAGACTGTATGCACACATTTACAGAAAATACAGCATGCCACAGCAAATGGAGGAAATCTGAAAGCTATGAGATGCATCTGACACTCCATTTGGGTGATAATACTACTGCTCGCCTTTGTTTTCTTTTCAAAATAAGTTACTCCAACCTCTGTGTTTTTTTACAACAACAACAACAACATATTGTGTAATAGCATGCACAGAGATACAAGCTAACAACATGTAGAGGTCTTCAATTTATGGGACCTTTGGCATCTGAGTGCCGCACACCTTTGACAGGTGTCGTGTGTCCTCTTAGAAGCCAGAGGGCGTCAAGATGTTCATGTCTCTGGGTTTGAGCTTGTGTGGTCGTGCTCCCTCTCGTCGGGGCTCAACTGTGGGAATCTCCATTTTGGGAGGAGCCACCTTCTCAGCACCAGGGTTGTCAGCCAGCCGTGTGGCCTGGGACCTCATTACCTCCATGGGAGTCGGCTTCTGAGCACCGCGGTACGCCTGCAGAGCGAAGCCTGCTGGGAAAAGAGAAATGGAAATAACTTCTCATATTTCGGCAAAGAAATTGTGTAAGACTAAAAGGACTAAATAAGAAAATTAGCATACAAGGTGTTTATTCATATCCGATTCCTAGCTTCATCTGTTTTTATCTACACCTTGAATGAGTTATTTACTGTCTGTTACTGTAGTTTGAAAACTACTTCAGTAAATTTCTATGATGTCTCAAGGACAGACAGGTCTCATGTCAATGGTTTAATGTTTTGACATTTAACATTAAGTGTGTACAGTGACACAGTGGTCAGTAAGGCCACTTGAAGCTATTTTACCATCGTGTTTATGACCATAGAGGAGAAACACGGTGGATGTTGAGTGAAACCTTGAGCGTGTGGTTGCTGTGTGTTCCGTCCAGTGTTTGGTGATTACAAAAAACAGAAACTGCAACGACACATTTAGATATAACTAGGTAATACCGCAGCAAAATTACAGTCAGGAACATTCAAAAATTGATCTACAAATAAATTTAAAACTATGACATTTCTTAAAGACCATTTTGAACATATTTTAAGATTATGTCAATATTCACAGCACTGTGGTAATTCTGTATCTGAACATGGCCAACCCAATAAAAGCCAGTGAATTTGGACATGCACTGTGAAAAATCCTTTAAAGTGCCTTACATGAGAGGGATATGCACTGACAACTTTCTCTTTAGGTTGAGCGCAGCAGCGTCTCATATACAGTATTGTTCAAATTAAAAATGTTTTAATGTTAATCCCCAAACCTAAAGCTCTCTTTTTAAGTTTCTGTGCTGTAGGGTGAGGCAAATCATATACAACCGTCTTCAAGTCAAGCACAAACTGAGGGATGCTGGTCTATCACTTTACTCAAGAAGCCCCTCTTAGAATAATATTAATACCATTTTATTTATGCATTTTTAGGAGATTAAAGAGTTTAACAAACCACTTTTTCAGTGATGTTGTAAATGATATCAAGCAGCTGATGTGGTCTCTACAAACCCTTTTATTTTAGCTGAGAGATGAGCATAACAACCCATGAAGTTAAACATTGCTGTTCATTGTAAACTCAGTCATTCCTTCACTGCTCACAACTAAACTCCACACAAACATCTATCACTTCTCTTAACGTACGTACCTAAAGTCATCATGGGAAAAAGATTTTGATAGTTTCCAAAGCGACTGAATCATCCCACATGTGAAAATCCAGAGGTTTCTCAGCAGCCGTTAATGATCTAAATCCGGTTGGACTTTTATATCAGTGGGATGTAGAAACACCCTACAGTGATAAGTGAACAGACGTAACAGACCGTCAGCTCTAAAAGCTGGACAGTGTTTACCGCCAATCTGAAGGCCGTTCATTTACCTATTAACCCAAATCCTGGACGTAACTGGTTCAACTGTTTATATAGGACAAGAAAAAGACAGTCAACGTTCCCTGAGTCTCTGGTCATGCTTACATAACCAAGAGGGACTCTTCATTCACAGTAGGGATGGGCAATGATTTTTTTTATAGTAAAAAAATTAATATATTCATGTGACTGTGTTTTGTCTTTAAGAACAAAGAGCCATTGTTTTCCCTTGCTTTTACCAGTGAATGGAAATAACACGATAACAAGGTCAGTATATCATTTTACTACAGCGCCAAATACAAACAGCAGAAACTACAGCCATCAAGAAAAACAGCCAGGGCAGGGCAGAACAGGATAAACTGTATGATGATACTGCATGTGAGCTGCACAGTCGTATAAACAAAATCCTAACACTTCCATGTGGCTCTTTAGGCAGGAGCAAGGAGGACCTTTCTGTGGCTTTGTTTACAGTTGACAAACCAACATTCAGCCACTGTTTTTCCAGATCTGGAGCCTCACAGAGTGTCAGTGCTGTTTACCTGCAGTTGTAGGGTCTGATTCCAGGTCAGAGGTCGACTTCTGGACAAGGGGGCGAGGCCCAAACACGCTCCAGCGTTCAACTGCACCCCCTACTCCTCCTGCTGCCATGTCTCCTCCTCCCATATCCACGCTGCTGTTGGACAAGCTATTGCTGACTTCTGAACCTGCACTACTGAACCAGCCCCTACACAAACACACAAACATTATGTAACCTTGACCAGGCTGTAGTTTTTTTTGTTTTTTTTCCCCCTAGAGTTTATCCCAAGTCTGGATGGACAGACAAATATGATTTAGACCACAGTACACTGAACACAATGTGTGCGTGTTGTGTATACCTGCGTTGTTGTTTTGGGGAGTTGTGTGGGGTGTTGGATGGAGTGGACTGGGTGGAGGAGCTCTGACGTTCTTCTTTAGCCTCCATGCTGTGGACCTGCAGTTTCTATACAGTAATAACAAAACAACAAGGTGAGTTAAGATTTTACACATTGTCTGATACATCAAATGAAAATGAAATGGGACTACGGAGTCAACCATTACTCAGAACATACAATGTCAATCACCACGAAGCCACACCCCTTAAAGAAGCAAGACCTAACAAACATAGGGTAAGGATATAATTCACAACAGGTGTCTCTCTGCTATACTACCACATCCATGACACTGTTATTTCAGCTTTTCTAAACTGTTGTCAAAAGTACAATCCATAAATTTGCCCCGACTGCCACCTAGTGACGGTTCCAAGAAGTAGTTTTGAACCACAAGTAGTCATTTCACACAGTAGCCATGGAGGAGCTCTTGGTAGCCAAAAGTCCAAAACAGTGGCAGCCAGATCAAAGAGGTGGCGTTCATTTGCACAGAGAGAGTGAGACGAGAAGCAAAAACCAAGGTTAAAATCAGTTTGGCTCTTTGAGACGGAGAGCATTAAAAGCAGCTGAAGGACTCACATTTGTTTCAGATGTGACATTCTTCCTTCTGAATGTGTAAGCACCCAAAACGTGTTTGTTTTAGTAACCATAGCGACTTAGCATTGAATTAATGTGATTTCAATTTTGGAATAATTTGAGCTTTGTGTAATGTCCGTGCATTGAGTCTCGTTAGCAGTAACCAGAGAGTTCTGCTGGATTGATCAATTTACTCATTAGCAGCTAACGCTAGCTTCAAAATGAAGGCTGCCGTTTGTCTCAACCAGGCATCCATAGTTTACGATGTTGTTAGACTATGAGCCAAGAGCGATTAGGAGGGCCTTATGGTGTCAGTTTGTTTTGAGACCCTCTAGTGGCTGAACAGAAATTAGGTAGAGTAGCTTTAAATTAAAGTTGAACACATCATTTCTGCCATCATCTCTGACCCTCAGCTGAAAATAACACACATCTCATGTAAATGTTTCTGGAAGCATCTGCAATGAACTTTCCGCTGAGCCAACTGGAACTTTTACTGCAATGTAGCATCATGTGGCAAAGGCAGTAGGCAATCAAATGTTAGCCAGTTAAATATGTGCAAGCTGCAGTCCCGCTAGACACTTTGTAACTTCAATGATTTATTTCTACCGTTTACCTGGTGACTGTTGCAGTCAGTATTTCATCATCTCACCGGTACCTTACCTCATCAATGCAGACTCTGTTGCTTTAGCCATTTTCTGTCCAAATGTCTGCTAATAAATAACCAACTGCATTTTGACCATGCATGCAATATTTGGTGTGTGTGTGTGGAGAAGTCTCTGTCTTACCTGGAAGGATTCAGGCATGCGGTGATGGTGTCTTGTCTCCTCAGCGGTGAGGCCCTTGTGGGGTGTGTAGCTGGTGTCAGTAAGCCCCGCCCTTTGCTCAAACTTGTACATACTGTCATGAGTCTGCTCTGAGAGCAGAGTGAAAAAAATAAAGTGTAATAATCCTTTAAAGTGACAACTGAATTATAAATGAATTCAACTTAAAATAATTTCTTCCAATTATTAACTTATCATCTGCTTTTTTTAAATTTAAGTTTACTTGTTCATTAAATTCTCAGTTTTGGTGTACTTTATAAAATCACTTCTGCTTAATTAAGTATTACTGTCATTATTAGATGTAACATACTGGTGATGAGAGAGTTCACGATGATGGAGGAGGCCTTGGTTTTCACTACACCTGGTGGCCTGGTTGGGTTATTGTCTGGCACTGTAGACTGAGGCACTGCACCACTCTCTTCCTCCTGGTGAGCAAAACAAAACACACCAACACCATCTTCAACACTGCATCACACTCTTCCTGTTGATGACAAAACAGATGTGTGTGTTCTGTGAAAGGGCTGTCTCACCTCAGCCAGGTGTTTGAACTTCCTTTCCGGTATAATGGGTCGTCTCCACAGATTATTGATGCTGATATCGTGGGGAGGTGTGGACATGGGGGCCTCCAAGTTATCGTCGTAGCTTAGGGCTCGGCGGGTCATCCCGATGGGAAGCTTCATCCCTCCAATACCAGAGCCCTCTATGGCTGCAGACAAAATTAGCATCAGCAAAGAAACACAAACCTTCTCTTGTGAACTGTGCACATTAGTATACTGTTATAGTCAGGTGTTTGGAGTATTTCGTTTGTGTGTTTATCCATTTAGATATCATTTTCAGAAACTTGAATAATGTCAGAATCATGTATATAAAGAAATGAATAAACCAGGTTATTTCACACACATTCATGTTTTATGTAAACACCATATAATCATAAATATCATCATCAAAACCAGAAAAAGACCCAGAATCATAATAAAGAACATTTACAGTAGGGAGCAAAACAGCAGGGAAAACATGTATATGAAATGGGTGAACAAACAGAAACCTGAGAGCTGGGACATGGTGCATTGGTTGGTTTACAAACTGTTACAGTATTGTGTTGGTCTGTGAAGTGTCTGCTATGGCTGGAAGCCTTCCTATAACTGTGGGACATATCTTTTTGTTCATGTTCATTTCAAGCCGTAGTTAGGGTAAGACTTTATTGATCCCACAATGAGGAAATTCCACTTCTAGTTACAAATATAAATAGATTTTATTAAACAATGCATGACTTAGTCAGCATGTGACTCATACTATAAATGACTGACTCAAATCACTTCCACTCAGACATGTCCAAGAGACAAAACATTGTATGTAATCCCCTTTTATATGTGTGATGCAACATGTTAGTTGGTATTTGGTGTTAAAAGCTGAATGCTGCTTTATGGCCACAAAAATAAATACATAAAAATAGTGAATGCTTTCATGAAATGATAAGAGCTAAGCAAAAACTATTTTAAATCTAAAAAGTGGAAGAACAGTGAGCAGTCAGTTTAAGTACTCAGTCATCAAGTGGTACACAACATAGCCAGTGGTTTGTGGATACTAATATATTACACCTTGACACCTGAACACGTCCAAAATCAGGAGCATTTATTAATCTGCTGCTGTAACAGAGTTCACACCTTCTTGGAACGCTTTTCACAAAACTTGCTCTCATTCAACAAAGGCCACCACTTAGGTCCAACACTAATGTTGTGTGATACGACCTGGCTCACAGTTTGTTTCTAACTCATCCCAAAGGTGTTGGGTGGGGTGGGGGTCAGGGCTCTGTGCAGGCCCATCAAGCTATTCCACACCAAAGTGGGAACACTGTGTCTTTATAGGCCAGGCTTTGTGCACAGAGGCACTGTCATGTTGAAACAAGAAAGTGCCTTCTCTATTGCCATGTTGTTTGAGCACACGGTAACATTAAGATCCCCCTTCACTGAAACAAAGGGACTTAGCCCAAAATGTGAAAGGCATGCCCACAGCAAAACATCATGATAGAGCCTTCAAGCAATACTCACCTGGTAAGTCACCTGAGCCCGACATGATTTTAGAAAGACTATGAACAAGATGAAACAAGACAGGAACTGGAAAAAAAAGCAAGCAAGGATTGTGCATTATTACATGTACAGTGGTAATAAACACAAAATGATAACATTTGTTACCTTCCTCATCAGCACATTTTTCCATAAAAATCTACAGCAGCAACATAGAAGAGCTACAGATAGACAATAAGATAGAAAAGGTTCCCACCTTCCTGCTGCGTTGCTGGAGTATGGACTAGGTGGAGTGGTGGCAACAGTTACATTGGCCCATCTAAGATACACAGAAGCCACTGGCAATGCATTGTGGGTGAGCAGCAAGGCCAGGGAAGAAACTAAAAGAAGACAGAAGTAACAAGGCCAATGTTACACTGACTTCTTCACTTAACTTCTCACTAATACTTTAATCAAAAAATGTTAAATATTTGGCAAATTCATAAAAAAAAACTGTAGAGTCAAACACATAAGTGCTACATTTCCATTCAATCAGCTGGAAGCAAACATTTTTCCAAACTGCACGAGCTTTTCTTTTTTTTTTAATTCATTAGCCTACACAAAATGAAATATTTACCTTATGTTCAGTGACTGTTTAATCACACCATGTTTTGTGTGACTGCACAATTCCATTAAAACTAAATATTCTAGATGTGTTAGGGATCACTTCACACACATTAAATGAAAATTCAACCTATGTTTTTTGGAAACTTGGAAAACTTTAACAGTACCACTAAAATTATTCAAACTAAACTTATGTCCCCTTAAACAATGCTCTGTGGTGTATGCATTTGTAATCTTGGACTAACCGGCAGAGTCAAATATGTCCACAAATGGAAAAAAGCATGCAGTAATGCAGAGAAAGAGATATCAATAACAATATAAATGGACACAACGATATAACCCGTAGACAACTACAGGATTATTCTAGAGGATGATGGCAGACAGGCTGGATTACATAAGGAGCCCATTTTAAAACGTTCATTCTTAGAAAATGAATGCCGCTTGGTGTATTTGACTAAACCCGAATTGAAGAATATCTGATACATATTGTCGAAATGTCTGAAGTCAAGTTTAAATATGTACGCACCTTAACAGAAAATAGTTAAGCCGTTAAAATGATCCCTTTTTAGTAATTCAGTTGCCTCTCCCCGCACAGCATAGCGGAAGCAGCCGGGGACGAAGGACAAGATCACAAAAAATGACATAAAACGACAACAACACTGCATTGTCAGCAACTCTGATATAATATTTTCACTTACCGGGGTAATGGCGGCTTCAGAACCACAACTGAAACATCAGCGATCCTCCAATATTAACCGGAGCGTGTAGAAAACAACTAGTTCGACGGATGGCAGCCATTATTTGGTTAGACAGGATAAATAAAGGCCTCTTCCTCGAGCAGCAAGCCTACATAATGTTGTTCTCGCCAGATATCGCGAGAGTTCTCTCTCCCCCTCTCTGATACACACACTTTTTTAGTACTGTTAAAGTTAAAAAATACTGGGTTATTCACGAGGGGATTCTTTCTCAAAATAGGCCTAAGTGCAACTTCATTTGTAATTATCTTCAATAAAATGTTTACTTGTACGGCCAGTGTCTATCTATCAAAGTGGGGGCTCCATAACGTGCAGAGGAAATGCCTGTGGCAAACGTAAATTGAATACATACAAAGGTGTTTAAATGTCTTTAAAATAAGTTATTTAACTTTATTGTTTTTATCATTTAAACTTCTTACTTTTACAAACGAAATTAGTAGTAGTGTTGTACCCTATACCACTAGTCATCAGTGGCTGTTAGAATTTGAAACTGCAGCTTCTTTATTGGACTATAAGTGCTACACTTTATTGACTATATTTTCTACAGGTAATTTATTGTGAATATAGATTATAGATAATTCTGTTTATCCTACTTCTGGAAAAAAAAAATCAAACAAGGAAAATTCACACACAAGACACGTTGATATTTAGAGTCTGTTAAAGCTCAACTCTCTGCATGTTTTGGTGATGTGGGAGAAACGTGGCCACACGGAGGTAAACTCCCAGGTTCAGGACAGTGAATCAAACCTTCACTTGTTAACTAAGTTATACTTTAGAGCGCCTGTGATAATGACACTGTACCTTGTACCAGATGCGTGTTATTTACCTCGGAGCCCTCCCACAGACTGGTGATTTGCATACAGATTAGCACAGCGCCTCCCTCAGTAGTTTGGTATTCCTTTCTATGAAGGACCGGACTTTCTTCTTCATTCTTTCCAGCCGAGGAGGAAGTTAGACTGGGGCAGTCCACCTCTCCCCACCGCAAAAAAAAGAGAAACAACCTGAGGAACCTGCGTGGTTGTATCCCGCAGCGACGTCTCTGTTTTGGGAAACATCTGACCTTCTGCTGTTGCTGAGTTTGTCTCGGTTTTCCGCTGATCAGTCAACATGTCTTTACAGACGAGCCAGAAAACCACGACTTCGACCTATCGGACCGTGAACGTGTCCTCTCCGGAGCCAGTGAGCAGCACGATGGTCTCGGCCGGGTCGGTGTCCCAGATGCCGTACGCAGTGAACGGCTACGAGTCGGTGCGGTACCTGGTTCCGGTGCAGCAGCAGCAGTCCTACGTGCTGATGCCGCAGCCTATGATGCAACAGGTAGTGTCACCGATGTACGTGAGCATGCCGCGCTTCAGCGTGAGCAGCCAGGAGTCCGACCTCATGTTGCAGCGGCAGAGCACGATGGAGGTGAGACCCAAGTTCAGAGCTGTCACCTGCAGAAAGGCTCATTGTTATCATAAGCAGGGGTGGCCCAAAGTGTTTTGGGGCTTCAGCAGAATGTGACATCCCGTGAACACAATATTATTTGGCAAATTCAATAGTCTAGTAGTTTAATTTAGTGCCAACCAGTTAAGTAAGTAATGTGGTTTAACACAAACCTGCATCCAAACAGCTTAAAGTAACCCCTACCTGCCATTTGGTGTTCAGTCACCTTTAACAACCTTATTACCACCATTATTTAATGGGCCTAAATATATATTACTTAATGTATAGTTGGCAAGTTAAAGCATAAAAACTGTACAAAAGCAAAAGCTACTATAACTTCTATAACTTGTGTGTTTAATATCCTGATATCTTTTTTTTTTTTTTTTACTTTGGGTATTTGGTGTTCTTGTGTGTGAAATAACTAGCAACACTCGTGAACTTGTAAGCAGCTTGAACAGAGTTTGGTTAGGTGTTGTGAAAACACAAATTAGATTTCAGTCTTCTGTGCTGCTCTGCAGCGTCTGCTCTGGTGTTTGTAGTCCAGTGTTGTCTTTATTACAGGCTTCCTTGGAAATCCTGGGATTTCCTTGAGTAATTAATTCCTGTAAATGTGACTATCTGTCTACATCTGTAGCTGCTGTTTTGAGTGCACTCACCTGTGGAAACATCTGAGGTATTTTATCAGTTTGTCAGTCACAGTATGAACCACTTTGCAGTCATGGGTAAAACACTAGCAGCGTAAGCACGTCACCCATATGGCAGCGACTTATTATTTCTGACACTGTGCTATGAAGATTCACAGTCCGTGATCAGAAATAAGCATGAATATAGAAAGATGGCTGAGCTGGGGCTGTACCTGTGGAGGACTTTCCACATGCTGGCAGTAGTGAAGAATCATTTTTTTTCTACTATACAAATGTAACCTTTCTTTCTTAGTATAAAATGAGTGTTGCATTTCAGTGTTGTTGTTATGCTTGTAAAGCTATGTTGAGATTTCCCTTAAAACGCTTATTATATAGGAGTGAATAGTTACACTTGACAGTTGTTACCTGGTAGCTTAGGGGTTAAGACCATATCATGTCAACAGGGGACCTTTGTTGCATCTAGAGTTCCAATGAATGTGCGGTAAGGTGCTGTGTTGTTAGGGGTGTTTCCAGTATCTGGCTTTCAAGTGTTTGCCATTGGTTTCCTTTTTTGGCAGAATGAACTGTAGTGAAGGTAATCTTGTCGGTTCACGCCCATTGAAGGATTGAAAAACTCTTGCCAGTCTTGCCCCTTGTCAGCCGACTGACTGTTAAATAGATACTGGTACAATGTGGTATTACTACAGTCACTTCAATCAGCACACACTGTGCTGCAGGCTTCAGAGCTCGTCTGATAATGTGCTCACACACAGCTCTGCTTTACCTGAGACTTCCTCCTTGATGACTTGTTATGTGGCACCAGTCTGTTCTCAGACGTGTGAAAGCTTTGCCAGAAAACTCTTTCCTGCTCTGATAACCACTTCCTCAGTGTCCTGGCCTTCAACTCTGGGATGGCTGGCACAAGGTCTCTGGTGTAGGCTGAAAATATTTGGATATCTTTTCTCCCCCAGTTTATCTCTCTGATAATAATATTCTTGCTACCTACTGTCCTCTATCCTCAGCTGTCCTCAGCTCCTTATTTTATTAAATCACTTTCTGATATAGTGTCCACAGAATATTGCTGGGACGGTCTCAGGACTTTCCTTTGAGCTGCTTGCTGTCCTGATAATTTATAAATTCAACTTCATTCTGCTGTTTGAGAGCTGAATATTAATGGTTGACAGAGAAGCAGTGCGACACACCCCTTACATTGGAAGATAAACACATTCTTCTATCTGGCTGGATCACCTTTGCTGAATTAGAGTGCACTGATCTAAGGTCAGGGAACGTTTTTCTGGAGAAGTCGCCTGGGACTATGAAAGCTTTTGATAGGCATTATCATGCTAGAGTTATTGGAGAAGGCACTGAATTAATGTGATTGTTCATGCTGCAGTAAATAAGCACACATTCCCCTCCATCCTACATGATATACTGCAGGTCTGAAACAGGAGGAATCACACAGTCAGCTTTTATAAAACACACTGGCCAGTGGTGCCTCACTTTTGATTCAGGGCTGAACACAAGGTCAAGATGATCAAGTTGATTATTTAGTATATATTTATTTTGTTGATTTGCTTTAACATGGTTTAAAAAAAATTTGACTAAAGGCTAAAGATAAAACTATGCATTCTGTGAGTAGTGAGCCAAGCACTGAAGTTCATTATTTTGTGTTTAAACCCGACAGTCACCTCTTTCTCTGTTATTCCAGAGCATCAGCGGGAAGTCTTCGGTGTTCAGCCACTCGTCCAGTCATGAGGAGGTAAGGACACACAAAGAATCTTTTTTGGTGTTTAATGTAACAGACACATCGATTTAAAACTACTAGATCCTGCCTGTGTAAAACCACACAGGCAGCAGCTGTGACTCGCATCGTAAAATTTAAATGAGTCAAAGCTGGAAGTGTAATTTTTTTCGTTTTTGTGAACATGGAGCTGTTTCTTCAACCTGAGAAACAAGAAGAGGGGAAAATGCAGAGGGAGTGTTGAGTGTATCTGCTGGTTCTGTGCAGCCACACCCATCTGCATGAAACCGCAATATGGGAACATGGCAGTGTGTGTAAGAACAGCAAGATAACAGGTGGCTTCTTTGTTTTTTTTTAACTTTACAGTCTTCCCAGTTCTGCTGGGGGCGGTTCACACATGCTCTGTGTGTGCAGCTATGCCCTGCCTCCAAACACGTACTGTTTAGAACAGCACTTTGTTCATAATCACAAGACCTTCTCACTATGCTGGCAAGCTATTTAGAGGAGGTGTTATATTCGGGTGTGTCCGGTCACTCCCAGAGGCCTGTGGGTGGGTACATTCCTCTGATTTGAACCTGCTGCGTCATGTATATGACTGTTGTCAAACCAGGTAGTTTCTCTGATTTCTAACCGCTGTGATGACACTTCAATGCTGTTTATTTTGGCATGACCCGAGAAAGTCCTTAGTGCAGTTACAAGAACAGAGTAATCCTATTTAGCTTTGTAAACCTTTGATGAAGTGAATACTTCAAGGGTGACTATTTATTAATGTTTAAGTTTTTTTTTTTTGAATAAAATGTTAGAAAAAAGTGCATGAGAATCATCCACAGGCCTTTAGTGATGGCTTTATATTGATTTTATTATCAAACCAACAGTCTAAAACCCAAAGTTATTCATTTTTTTTGTTTTCAAACAAATAAAGGAATCAATTTGTCACCTTGGAAGTGCTGGAATCAGCAATAGTAACTTTTTTTTTTCTTTTTGTAAGTGTCAATTTATTGTTAGTGATTAACTAATTAATTAATAGTGTTAATTAATAGCACTCCCTTCATTTTGTTTGTTTATTGTCCTACCAGAGCAAAGTCAGTTCAATAAGCAATAAAAAAACAATATGGCAAGATTAAAAAAAACAAATCGACAAAATATACAGTGCAAATGTCCATAATAAAACCACAACAAATAAGAATAATAAAGGGCTAAGGTGTGTGAGGATCTGAGAGGGACTACAGCGCATTTATTGTACAAGGAAAAGGTGAACATTTGAACTTGCTGCGTGTAATATTCAGAAGCCATTATCTCTGAACATCGGGGAAGATGTGAGATTTCTTGGAGAGGATGGTCTGGATTGGTGGGTTCATGCATAGCACAAGAAATTTGCAGTAGTTTCTTTTACAGGCTCTTTGATATTTGGTTGTCGAGAGCCACTTGATCAAAGTCAGTAAAGTGTGTGTGTGTGTGGTCATAAAGCTGCACTGTATGTTGTTGTTGTTATTTTAATTGGCCTTTGTCTTCATTCTTGTAAGTACAGTCTGAGGTCCTTAATCTTTCTGCGTTGTCTGTAATCTTGCTCAGTGTTGTGCCAGGAGCAACTTCAGAAAAATAACTTGGCCAGCGAGAGTTCAGACAGTAATCTGCTACTGGGCTTCTCTTGAAAAGGAACTCTTAATCTTTTGATTTTTTTTTTTTTGGATCCAGACAATAGAACTGGTTGTTAAACATCTTGACCACTTCCCCCCCTCCTCCTCTTTTCCTACAGGAGTGGAGGAAAAGGGCTGTGTTTGAGCCTGGTTCTGATTTTAATCATTTAGATTTTTGTCTTCTTTTTTTTTTTTTTTTTAACTTGATTAGGTTTTAAAACTTCAGAAGCTGCTTTCAGGGTTAGTGTTGCTGTTGTACAATATGACATTCTTTTTGCGGTTTTTGGGACCTTCAGGTCATTGACTAGAATTTCAGCATGTTTGATATAAAAACAGACCCGGCGACGGTGGCAGAGTTGAAGTGCAGGTGTAGGTGTGGGAGGGAAATGGGTAAAGCTGAGATATGTTTGCAGTAAAGTGGCAGAAAGACTCCAACAAGGACACAATGCACGCACACGGGTTGAACTGTACTCTGAGATGCAAACAGACACAGACCTAACTGATGAAGTGGATTAATTTTCAAATGTATTCATCTGCTTTTTAAATTCATAAGTAATTACTGTATAATGCTTTACAGTTGAAAGGTGTCAGAATATGAAGTGTAATCAACAGCAAGATATTTTTAATGGAAAAAGTTACACCTTAATGTAGATAGACATATGTACAGTAAGAGACCTGGCTATACTGTATGTGTTATGTTAAACACCATCTGACAACTATTGATATATAAACATTGCTCCCAAGTACCACAAACTGTACGGTGTCATTACTTAACAAATACGATTTTTAAAATCATGTAAATCGTTACTGTCTTAACACCTGCAAGCTGCACAGTGGTGTCAAATAGTTTGGTCACAAAACTGATTTCTGTGGCTACATCTGAGATAAGTAGATATATTTACAGAGATTAGCATTTCAAAGTCGCTGAGAACTGTGTTGCCAACACACCGTGATTCATAAATGAGGCTCACTGTCAGAATGGAAGGTGTGGTAAACAAGCAAAGCCAAAAACCAGCTCTGAGTAACCGACTCTTACTCCAGGAACGTACACACAGATGAAGAGTCGCAACGCTTATTGTTGTGTTAAACCAAAACATAAAAAATAAATACCGGATTGACGCGTGTTCATCATACAAATATAATATATACTCACATATTATGAGACATACACATGGCACATTTGTTTTAGTAAAGTTATGACTACCATGAAAATACCACCTTAGATTTAATATCCTCACACACAAGGATCGCTACTGCATCGTTACTTTCACTCAGTGAGCAAAAGAAAACCACATGTGGTCTCAGTTGGTGTGTCGGCCTCCTCAGTGACTGGTCCACACATTCCATATGGATCAGACTGTAGCTGTGAGCTGACACGTACACGTTTGTACAGGCTACAGCCACAGCTGTGTGTGTTGGGTTATTAATCACTTGACAGTGAAGAGTGTGATTGTGGATCCTGGTGCAGCAGAAGTATCACATAGTTAGAGAGTACATGAAAGAACTGAGGCTTCGTCTCCACCGAAACAACTAAACTGCACCACCAAAAAAAAAAACTCCACAGCTGTTTTGTCAGATACCTTTGGCAACATGAAGAAAACTATGCTGCACACACGAGTTATTAAAAGCCTTAAATAAACAAACCCCTCTATCTTTTCTCTCTCAGCGCCGCCAGTTCTACTTTTGATAATTTCACTTTTGTCTTTCAAGATCAATAGCACAGAAGAGAACAGTATGTAATATAACTGAGTTATTTACAGTTCAGTGACGGCTACTGTGTGTGTGTGTGAAGAACATTTACCTTAGAAAGTTTGTTGTGGCAGCGTAGTGTTGACTTTAGCTCAGACACATCTTACATTTTAGGTATTTGTTCTCTTATTATCCAGAGCGACGACAGCAGGAACAGAAGTCTGATGTTCTGCAAACAGTCAAATCTGAGGAAACCAAAAACATACAGCTTGGGGCTGCGGGGGGGATAAGATCTTGTTAAGCTGAGTGAAAGGTGTTGGGCTAAGAAATGTGGTTAAGAGGAATGGAAGTTGACAGACATGTTTACTGCTGAGACACTAAAAATGACTTTGTAGTGTTTGAACCTATGTGACGGCCTGTATTTGAGACGTGTGCTTCAGCATTGTTCCCTTTTAATATTTTTGTTGTCACGTCAACTGCTTCGTAAGAAGCTTTTCTCACCACTCCAGGGTATGTGAAGTGTTCAGACTTAATTACAGGACAGTGAAGGAGGTTGTCACATTGTAGTGAGACTAGAGCCCTAGACAGGACATCATGTCTTTAGTGTTAATCTCCACAGTAGCTCCAAACAGGAAAGCATGGCTTTAGTTTTAATGGGCATGAATAACATTCTTTTCTTCTCCCTAATATAAAATGACTTTGTATCTGTCAGGACTTGATTTGTGGCTTTATGAATTCACATTTGTTCTTCTTCATTCTGCAGGATAAAAATCCCACCCTCAGTCATTTGCCAGCAACATACAGCCTTGCACCAGATTAGATAGAAATATTTATCTGTACCCTCTTGTTACAGTGTTATGAGTTAGATAGCACTGTTCCTTTCTGTTTCTTGCAGGGGAGCCAGATGATTGACAAGATAGAGTATCTGTGAAAGTCGCTCATGTACACATGTTGTTGACTGAGCCCACTGACTTCTTTTCATTCAGATTCATATATGTACACACTGACTTCTTTTCATTCAGATTCATACAGCTGTAGGTCATCTGTTTGTTTTTATCACATCTGTATGCTGTCTGCTGCTCACAGACACACATTTCTGTAGCTGTCTTACTGGTTGTGTAACTGAATTATGGTCTTGTGGTGAAGCCACTTTATATCTGCACATGGTTCTCTGGCATTGGTATAATTACATCATTTTGTTTAAACCAGTTTGAACTATTTGCCTAGAGCTGGTGGAATTCTGCTTTTGGTTTGGTTCATGGTTGTGAAACCTTCAGCCTGATAAATGGGCAGAATCTTCATTTTGGCTTTTCTTCATTATTCTGTGTAACATTATGATCACTTGATTCGCATTCTGTTTGCCATAACCGATCAGTAGCAAGCAGGAGTTCAGTAGTGATCTGGCAGGTTATTGGCACTGAAAGACTACATCCACTCTAATGAGGAAACATCTGTTAATTGGCACCAGAGCTGCAGAATGAATCTGTGATGTGTGTGGTGATTCATGCTAGTGAAAGGTAACCAACCACTCTGCATTTTCAGCAGATGATCAACCCCCGCCCCCCCAAATATATTGGTGTGCTGCCTAAGTTTGCCTAGGCTGCTTTTATTAGCTTTTTGTCTAATTTTCACTGAATCTTACATGCGTTTACTTCATGAACCCCTTTCTTCCATGAAATGTCAGATGCCAGTGACAGAAGGTAAAATGGTAGCTCATCAATGGCAGAACAACACGTCAAGCAAGTAATTCAACTTTTGAGCAAGAGATATTTTGACTGGCGGAGTTGCACTGATCAGGAGCCGCAGGCTGTGATTCCACAGATGCAGCAGGTCACTGAATAAGATTTAGAATCAATATGGTCATTACCTAACGTCCATTTGTCCATTTTTCACACTGTTGTGTTGTTTTGTTTGTTGACGGAACATATAAAACATTTTGTCATAGTTCCTATTGTCAAATATTGTTTTTAGTTTTAGTCTCTGAAAAATTGGCTGTCAGTGAATATTTGTCATCAGTTTTCATTGACAAAATTAAGGCTGCATTTGAGTTTTCCATGCTTGTGAGCAACCTGGTGCTCCATATCTGACACGGCGACAGCAGTGGGTCTCTCACACACAGGACCTCCCTTCTGAACTGATGTTTTTTCGGCACAAAATTGTGTTGCTGTGGTGACTTGTGAATCGCCTCCAGCCATGAGAATGACTGTTGGAAAGGCTTCACTTGGCAGAGTGGCTTTGCTCCATGAAAGAGAACAAACACACTTGACTGACACTTTCAGCTTGACTCTCATGTTGCTTCTCTGCTTAAAGTTCGGTTTTCTAGATAAACGTTCTGAATGACACTGTCTGTGCACATATGCACATGTTGAAACTGGTGGTGAGCCTCAATTATGTTGCATCACTGTGATGAGGATGAAGATCTCTTTGAGTATCGTGGCTGTCAAAGGCTTGAAGCTTTTTATTTGCACACCTGATCACCAGACCAGGGTCAGAAGGTCATCAGCTGCATAGTTGGGATATCAGCATAGCTGGTTTGAATCCTGAATTGCAGTTAAATAACGTTTGGAGAGATTTCTGGCTTTGTGCTGAGCTGGGCCTAATGCAGTGGTGGTGGGTGTTTCTTATTTAGAATTTTATTTTCACATCTTTATTTTATTATTTCCTTTCTTGTAATTTCTTTTTCTTCTCTGATTCTTCAAACAAGGGAATAGTTTGCAAATGCAGTAAGAATACATATTACTTTTATCAGTATAAATCGGATTATTTCCAGAGTTTTAGTAGAAATAAGAATGAAAAGATTCAGTTTAGACTGAAATAACCTACTGCACTGTCAGACTGAATCGCACAAAAACTGACTTGATGAGAGATGTTTTGCAGGACATGCACAAAGGCGCTCACAGAGACTCGTACAAAGAGCCTGTGTGGTAACAGGACACTTGTCTCTCCAATAACAACCTCTAGTGTTACTCTGTCCTGAGAGCCTCACACAATGATTTGTGTCATTATTCTCCCACACATGCACCAGAGACGCCAACATGACTTAATCATCTTTTAGGATGCTCTTTTTACTGCATGTAAAAGCATTTCTGCTGGTCCTGAAAATACTTGGAGTGCTTGCCACCAGAAAGGCGCTGATCAAATTTGACTACATCAACGTAATGTTAAAGACCTGTCCCAGGGTGTGACCTCCAGACAGGGACAAGAAAGTGAAACCAAATTCTCGGCCTCTCACTGTAGTTCTCATCTGACCTGGCAACACTGGGGACACTGCATGCATAAGCATATAAAAGAGTGAAATGAAAAATTATAACTGATACTGATCTAAATGTTTGAGAGATGGTCCAAGCATACATAATGGTTCACCATAATAAAAGTTTCAATGCATTCCACAATATAAAGATGGCAGTAAATCATTTATTACTCTTCGTGGAGCTGTGTCAGTACTGTGTCCAGGAGAAACTCAAAGTTGTAGATATAAATTAACCCAAACTTCAACTTAAAATACTGTTTTGAAAGGCTCTGTTTAGTGTCCAGACTGGTTCAGGTGTGTCATCTCTGCTTTCCTGCTTTCTGCAGGAATGTCAAGCATCTAACTATAGCAGCCACAGCCCTTCAGCCCTGAAACACACCCACCTCCATGTGATCACAGTATTCACTTTATACCTTGTGTTGTACTCTTTGGATTTCATGTTTAAGAATAAAAATAACAGCCCTAAAGGTGCCTGCTTTTGGTCCTGCTGTGACCTCTGACCTCTGCAGGATCATAAACCTAATCCCAGGTTTCAGTCTCCACTGCAGCCAGACAGGAGCTGACTTTAAAACCTTGTCAGATATCAGAGTTGTGTAATATTTGAGTTTCTTGGTTTGTTGCCAAGCTCCTATTCAGACACTGAGATCTGAACCAGTTTGATAAAGATAGCTTCACAGGTTTGCACAAATCTACCTCTAATCATTTATTTTTAAGGTGCTTTTGGCTCATACTTTGTCACTATAACATTTTCTTCAGTTTAGCAGAAAATAAGCCTTTTTCGGATTCACTCTTGTCATGCGTCACTTGTTCATACAATGGTGAATTCCACTTCCATTACTCTGTGTTCATAGGTATGCTTATCAAATTTATTTTGAGTATATTTCCCATCAGTGGGCTGTTGAGACAACCTGAGAAAATGTTGTTACTTGCACTTGAAAATTAAAGATAACAGTGACTTAAGTTGGTCTTTTAAATGAAGACGTTAAACGTATGGAAGTGTATTCCTCCGAAGGCCCCATTAAGGTTTGACTCACGCAGGTAAAACACCTGGATTTGCTTATACTCTGAACTGCCAGCATCGGGAACATATGTACATTTCTGATTCTATTATATACAACTATCCTGCAATAAATCCTTTATTTATGAAACTTATAATGAACACTGTGAGAGGAATTATCGGTATGGATTTTTCTTTTGTGGCGGTGCCCCTTCTTGTACATAATGCGTGCAGTCAATTTGTTTTCTGATTAATCTCTCCGTGTCAGGAAATTGTGGAAAATCACAAAAACCGAGAGCACAAGATAACCTCGCCAAATGAGAAAGATGTTCAGTTTGTGCTTATATAAACCAGAGAAAGCTAGTGATCCTTCACAGACAAGCTGGCATTAGATAATGTTTGGCAGAGGTGGACTAAGATTATAAAGACCTGTCAGTATAATACAATCCACAACAGAATGTTGGAAACTCTGGCTCCCAAGCAATTCCTGGACTTCTGTGAGATGTGGCTGGACCGCTCTGCATAGCCACTGCTTTGATATTTGAGAAGACATGACCTCAAGCAGGATCCTTTCTGTCTGCGTCTACTGTATGTTTATCTTTTTCAGTGATGGAACCACAGGACAGACTCAACAGGCATGAAAGATCTCATGCACTTGCTTTTATCTGATGCGTCGATTTGACAGAACTATTAATCATAGACTTTAATCACGGACTGAAAGCAACTCATTAGGAAGTCAGTACTGCATTCAATTTGTCCAGTAACTGTGATAATATGTTGCATTTATTAGGACAGGTAAGGCCCTGTACAGACTTGGGGCCTTAGCTGTGCATCTGCACACCATACAAGGCAAAACAGCTGCACCCTTGGATATATTAAGTATGATGTGAGGGTAAAATCAGGCTTAAAAGCATCAATCAACAAGCACACACTAGTCAGAAAACTCAACTAATCTGTCTTCCAACCATCCATTATCTATATAGGTACCACAGGTGGTGGTGTGTTTTTTTTTGCAACCTTCATTTCTTATTTTTAACAAATTTAATCACACTGGAGACTTGTATTTAAGTGCTCTTTAAAAACAGATAAAAGGGGGTTGGGACAAGACAAGACTAACATTACAAATAATGCTGGTGCTACTCTGTAATTTGTCAGAGAACAAAGAGTGTTATGGACAGGTGTTTGCAGAGGGAGAAGGCGTTTTCCGTGTGAAGAGTACACAGCGCGTAGCTCGGCTTAGTGTTGTCGTATTACAGGTTGTGCAACAACAGTTTGACTCAACTCTGTTGCTACATGTCACTGACATGAGGTGATGGGTGTGTTTGGCTCGGATCACGTGTAGTGTGCAAGTGCAGCGAGGAGTGTGCAGGATGGCAGGTGCAGAGCCTGGTACCTCAGGTTTCAACATAGAGCTTCTTAGAGGTGATTTACCACAATTATAAATGTACACCATATGGCCCAAAGTATAAGTGCTTCTGTGACGGTGAGGCATCACTATTAGAATATTTGAGAACGTAAAGGGCTTCAGTAATTAGTTCAACGGTAAGTATGAGATTTTTTGATTATTACACAGGTAACCACGTATATGACATGTCTTTGTCAGAAGATTAAAGAGGCCGTTAATGAGCTTTTCAGTCTGCTAATCAGGTTTTCTTTTTAAGAATGATCCGTGTTGGCAGATGTTGGGCAAGATGCCAAGGAGAGGATTTCCTTGTTGAAATGATATTTCTTGCAGTGATCAGAAGAGAAGCACAGTAGTAATGAATGATTTTGTATTGGATGTTCTCCATAATCTGTTCTGTATAACTCTGGGCACTAAACATGACCTTCTAGTAAAATCATCGTAAAATCACAGTTTCAACTTACATACACACCACACAGTCTGTCTGCACAAGCGTTTTATTTGCATGTATAATACCGTACAAAAACCTTACATGGACAGTGGTTAAAAATTTGTTTCTGGCCTTGCTCCTCCAGGAGGAAGAAGAGGAAGAGGAAGAGGAGGAGACAGTGGAGGTGGAAGAAGTGGAGATTGTTAATGTCGTACAGCAGAAACCACCTCCAAAGACATCCAGGACGGAGTGCAGGACCGAGCTGACAGAGGTGCCTCAGCCCACGAAACTGGACACGCGCTACTTCGGCGAGCTGCTGGCTGACGTTTACAGGAAGAACCGCGACATCCACTCCTGCATCTCTGAACATGTGTCCAAGATCCGTGGACAGTAAGTGCTGAAGTGCTTGTACAGTTTTTATATATACATAAATCGACTGTCTAAAAATTACAGAAATTGGAAATTCTGCCCCAATCCATGAAAGGTCATATATAGCTAACTATATTATTAAGCTATACAAAATATATATGTTAAATTTTGAAAATCTCTCCGACCACACAAAGACATCTGAATTGGATAGTGGCAATAAAATGACAGAACACAACAATATTGTGGACAAAAATAGCCAAGTATTAACAAACTGATTTGGGGAAAAAAAAAAAAATCTTTTTCCTGTATGCATTGCCTTGTTCAGTGCACACAGAATGTACATTCTGTGCATTTACTGTACATGTATGCTTTGGCTTGGATTGGCTCTAAAACATGAGGCAGTCTTCCTCCTAGAACAGATCTTCATTGCCGTTGCAAAACGTTCTTACTGGTTGAAACCAACTCCACAGACGTCATAACTTTAAATAACAGAATTTATGTGTCGATGTCTTTAATGTGGTTTTATTATCTTGGCATATGCTGCGGGCTAGCAGACTCCTACACAGCAGTTGTGGGATATTGTCATGGAGACAGACGCTGGGCGTGCAGCTTGGATTAATATCGTGAGCAGCGTGCTTGAACAGGTCCGAGGCGAGTTTCAGTTGGATTCTTTCCGTCATAATTAATTGGGGGGTTGAAACTGAAATGGTTTTCTTGGCAAGGAAGAAAATTCTACTAAGAAGTATAGGGAGAACTGTGACTTAGGTTCAGTTGTAAAATCTGAAAAGGTATATTTGTTTCCAGTGAAGATTTCTTTGATGTAGTAAACTATCTTTAATCCTGTGGTATGGATGCTTTAAGATGGAGAAACTGTACTATATGTTCAGTTTTGTTTGTCAGCTGTTGTGCTGCTGCTGTCACCTGCTACATCGCCTGAGAACCCTGCTTAATACAGGGCAGATGGTAAACCTGGGACAGAAAAAAGGAGAATGACATGATGCGTAGGTCAGATGGTCTGATGTAGCCAATGAGAGTGATCTACAACTCTAAGCTAGTTTAAAAAGTCAGGTTGTGTTCATCAAGTTTCCGCCCAGTTGAGTCATGTAATGATATTTTGCGTGTATGACTGAGAGATGAACCACGGCATCTTAATCCAGCTTTAGCTTTTCATCTCTCTGTCAGCCAACTCTGACATAAGAGGCTCAAAATCACTCAGCACAGATACACACACCTGTACCTGCATGGCTATGGTGTATTTTCTTACAGTGAAGGCTGGGCAATATGGCTGAAATCAATATCATACTGCTAAAGGATAGGTCTAGTGATATTCTCTATGTTTCACATTACAGATCCCATGAAAATACCAAACAATGAATGTATCCTACTAAGCACTACATTCATCGTGTTCCTCTGTGCCATAGTGCTCCATTGTTGTCCAAAAAGTGAACACTAAGCCACACTGTTGTACTGCATGACATGTTGTTTATCAGGCACATACACACATGCACACTGTAGTTTATTAAGACACAATGCCGCTAGAGCACCAAAATATACAGTGTATTAATCCATGGTTAAAAGTAGTCCCAACAAATGCACTGGTTAAGATTTGCTGAAAACTACAGTGCCCAGATGTTTTAGGGAATCAGAGGCTTCAAGATAAAATCATACATTTCATCAACAGTTATTTTCTGTCCTTACAGTGTGATACATGCACACACACACTGCTCTGTCTCAGTGGGGCTGAGAAGTCGAGACTCGTGAGTCACTGTGATAAACTGTAAATCTCACATATACAAACACACCATCACTTTGTTTTCTTTCTCTCTCTCACACACACACACACACACCTCTCGGGTATCTCCAGTTGAACTGCTGTTCTCATTGTTGGGTTTTCCTCTGTGTGTTACAGGAAACACCAGCTGGATCCCAGCAATGACTATAAGGTGAGAAACAGACCTGCATCACTCACATCTGATAAAGACATTTCAACAGAGCTCAGACGGCACAAAACTAAAGACGCTAGACATGAAACTAAAAGTGGAAGTCCACACTTTAATCTTTATTGATAGAACAGTTTCTTGTCTGATTCTAAATGTTGATGATTCACTGTTATCGTACGCAGTATTTTTCTGTATGTTTTCTTGGATTTCTGTCATTTGTAGGGACCAACCAATTTCTCAACAGTACAAATAAAAGTAACACAACTGCAGACATTTGTCCAAGTTGGAATAATTTCTCTCGCTATTTTATTCAGTTGTTTAATTTGTATATGTCTTCAGGTGGAGAGAGAGGAAGTCGAGGCTTTGATTCCCAAAGGAGCCACTGAACTGACCAAACAACAAATCCGCTACCTGCTGGAGGTGAGTCAGATGGAGTTTAATCACCATTTCATTAAATGTCATTTACATTTTGATTCACATTTATTATGATATTGATCTTTAATGCTATCCATGCCATTCTCAGAAGATTTGTATTTCAACCTTTAACATTTGCATTCGTATCATGTTGAAAATATCTCAAAGTCCTAAAGTTCTATCTTGCTGCAGATGTACAGCATGACGGTGTGCATGCCTCCGGTGTTGACTCTTCTTTCTGTGTATGTTTTCAGACTCGTCTCACTGCAGACAAGAGCATGCGCCTGCTGCTCTCCACCTTCAGCAGTCTGAGAGAGGAGCTTCTGCACATGACTGAGGACCTACGGGTAAGAGTCGCTGCCGCCTGAAAGGAAAAGCACGACATAACAAGCGACACACCCAAACCCCTCCACAAAGAGCGACTTTTAGAAAAGGGGAAAGCATAGAGGTTCAGTGTAATGGGTTTTTTTTTTCAGAACTATAGAGAGTGGACCTTTCCAAGTATAATTTTGCTATTATAACTTATATATACACAGTATAAGCAGTAGTTGAATGTACACTATATTCTAATTTGAAGATAAGTAAAAATTCAACCTGTAATGAATATAGTGGAGTAAAGCTTACAATCTTTCCATCTAAATTGTTTGTATTACTGTATAACTATAAATACTAAAATTGAACTCTCACAACTGTACATGTATTTCAGTATTATACATTTAATTTGATTTTTATTATATGTACTTATGAAACTTTTTTACATATGAAGGTACTATAATTTTCTTTATTTAATGACCTTTATTGAGCATTATTTTGTAACTTCCTGCTCCTAAAGACTGATGGGTTCATGTAATGCCTGCCCATTTATAAAAGTCAAACATGCCTTAAACTGAACAAGGTCATCTGAAACATTCTGTTTATGAATAGAAAGACAATTCAACAGATGTGAGGCCTTCTCAGCTTTTGTCATATTTACGTCGTTTCAGATTAAAAACAGAGTACCACATCCAATATGTCAGTTCATAGCCATAAATAAAATGTACAGACACATCCAGATTTTTTTCAGCAGCTTGTCAGGTTAGAACAGTATGTCCCCACAACGTGCACATTATATAATATGAGCGTTACGTAGCTATGCAAGCTTATTAAATGCTTTAAATTACACCAGACACATGCAGACTTCAGGGCAAAAACTACTGGCTCATTCCGGCTGGTGATAAAGCTGCAAGGTGGAGTCGCTTTTACTGTCTGTATTCCTGAGAAACTATTTGCCTTTTTCACAACGAAGTCAGGGAGTAAGCAGTAGCACAAAATGACATGTAGAGATTTCACTATTAACGCATGACATAAATGATGCAGCTTCTCCTACCAGTGTAACTTTAGCTGTTGTATGGTACATAGCCATAGTGGTATTTAGTTGACAACCATAACATAGCCATACATGAACTAAGCCTAAAAACTGACAAACCTTAAATTAAACGCCCGTTGTTGTTGTTGTTGTTTGGATGCCAGATGCCCTTCCTGACGCAACCCTCTGGGACAATTTAGAGTTGCCAGTTAACCCTGATGACTGTAGACTGTGGGAGAAAGCTAGACTTCATGGAGGAAGCTCCACACAGAAAGGTCCCCATTGGGACTTGAACCATGAACCTTCTTGCTGTGCAGCAGCAATGCACTGTGCCACTGTGCTGTCCTAAATTAACTGCCTGTAACATAATTAAGCTTTATTTATTCAATCAGGAAATTTCAGTGAAATTAATAAATCTTTTAATGCACTGGATTAATGTTACAGTTGTCGACTGAATACCGCTGCAGCTATGTACCATACTAAAAGATCCCCAATCAAATTAAAAACGAACAAACACAACCATTTGAATAATGGAAACAAAAAAAGGAATCCAGTCCCACATTACTAGAGTCAAAAGAGTCACAGCTAATCAAATCCAAAGTGAAAACAAAGTAAAACAATCTAAATGCCCTAACCTTTTTACTCTTAGTATAGAGATCTAACTGATTCTCTTTGCCATCTCTTGCTACAGCGCCTGGAGAGTGACAAGGAGGCTTTGGAGAGAGATCTGAGTTTCAAAGCGGACCAAGCTCGGCAGTATGACTGCCTCCTGGAGGCCGTTCGAGAAAACAACAGACAGCTCCAGGTAAAACCGTGGCTGGATTACTGAATGGGTTTATCTGCCACCTGATAGATCGGTAGTAATCTTACAGAAACACAACTACAGGTATGGCAGATAAAAAAAAAAAAGTAAGTAAGTCTGTAAACTATGGGTAGAAGTTTATTACTGACATTTCCATTCGTGACTCTTCATATATTTAGGTTTTGTTTACCGAGTGGTTGGTTGAAGCTTCTATGATTGTGTGACTGCTCATGTTTTTTTGCCACATCGGACTTATTTTTTATACTTTATGTAGTGCAATAATATTAGACAGAATGGCCAAAACTGTTAAAATATTATCAAAAAAAGTCCTATACATGCATTACTATAATAGCAGTCATTTCTCTTATATCTTTAGTTACACATTACAGAGATGCAAATTCTTATCTAGGTTTTAATTGCTGTTATCTTGCAAATAATAACTGGATCTTGTAGGATTTATATGAAAAATACTGGAAATATTCAAAGAAAGATTTAATGCCTGAGTATTTAGAGTAATATTTAGTGTCTTGTCATTGTTATGAAAGACGGTATAACAAGAATACAACTCCACGTCACAAATTGCAGCATCCAAAATGACCACACACCTCACTGAAATGGTTTCAACAAAAGCTGAACACTATAACCTTTTTTTTTTTAAGTTTCTTCCAAGCATGTAAAACTAAGAAAATTGATATTGTGAAAAACAAAATTGATTCGACATTTCAACCAATAACCATAAGACATCACAACATTCCAATAGTACATGCTTGAAAGGGAGTAGGAAGAAGTATACACTTATCTAGTCCTACCCCCTTTCTTAGACCATGGTACCATTAGCCCAACACCGGACACTCAGACCCACAGCAGTGCAAGTCCCCAACAACCACCGTATATGCATCCTATCACTGCCCTATCCATTGTACATACCAAACAACCCAATTTCCTCATCGACCAGCCCCTTAAACATAGACCAGCCACGCCATGCACCCAACATCCGGCGTCAAGCCAACTACCCCACGGTCTATCTCATCCCATTATAATACCCTCACTTTATCATACTCTTCATCCTACATGCAATACTTCCTATACTACCTGTTCCAAAAGCGCATTGCTAAGTTTCTCAATACAAAACTAAATTCCATTTAACATCATCATTCAAATCACAAGTTTATATTCAGTGCATGAATTTTTAAATTTAACTGACCCCTTAAATTATATCCCACTTCTCTTTCATTAAACAATTTTTGAATTCCACCTGGTAATAAATTGTTCCTAGCTTTATACATGAACACCGCAGTTTTATATTCCACTAAATCAAAAAATTTTAACAATTTAGACTGTATGAATGATTCATTAGTGTGATCCCGATATCCAAGTTTATGGACAATTCTTATTGCCCTTTTTTTGCAATATGTACTATGGCTGAAGTGTACTTTTGTATGCCTTTACCCCAGCATTCAACACAATAATCTAAATATGGTCAAATCAATGAACAATACAGAATATGGAGTGTTTTCCAATCCAGAATATGTTTAACCCTTGCCAGTATAGAAATACTTTTGGCCATTTTGTTTTGTATATTTTTGATGTGAGATTTCCATCAATTATAACACCTAGAAATTTGATTTCACCTTTGAACTTCATGTAGCATTTACTGCAAGACTGTATTAGACTGCCTTGGTATCTAACTGCTACTGCTTTGTGCATCTGTGCATGTGCGTGCCGCTCCAGCTGTCTCTGAAGGAAGCCAACACAGCCCAACGTTCCCTGGAGGGCCAGCTGATGTCGGCCCAAAACGCCGACTCGAGCCGCGGGTTTAAGGTCAAAGAGCTGGAGGGAAGGATTAGAGCACTGGAGAAGGAGAACGAGATGCTTCGACAGAAGGTAAACACTAGCCCTCCCACCCTCCGTACAGTGCGTCCATCAGGACCTCCTTCTGTTTAACCGTGCTCATAAAATAACTTGTGGCGAGGTCACTTCATTTGTGTCACCAGTGCTGAACCATCTTGAAGTTTATTTTAAAATGTTTGATGGAGTATAAATAGTGGCACCTGCTGCCAGACAGGTGGTATGTTTAGATTCAAGGTGAGACTTTGTAGTTTAAAAATGTTAATGCATTTACATGATCTAAAATATATTCAAACACCTGGGTTTGGTAACCTGGTGCATTGCATCTAAAAACCATCTGACTGCGATTACATTTAAATTTACAAGCCAACTTTTTTCCTCTTCATGAAATAAATCAGTCCAAATGAGGACTCCAATAAAGGGTCTCACATGATTGCTTAACAGAATCATTGTCTTCCTGTTTCCATGTTTCAAATGCAAGTGTCTTGGGGGGACTGTTCAGGCATGTACAGACAGATCTATGAAGCTCTTGGCCCCCGGCTGTGATTTGGAAAATACAATGTTTCATGTGGGCGAAAGAATCTCAATTTTCAGGAGACGCAAAGTATTTGGAAAGATCATTAGCAGTATGTATTGATTCCAAATGTTTCAGTTAGTATGAAATTCTGCTGAAAACAAGCTGTTTTACTTGGAGGGAACCCATGTTTTCTATACAACAGAAAACTTGTTCCATATAATTGCAGTTAATGTGGAAATTGGCCTTTCGAAGCAAAGTAAAATTAACACCATCTGTCTGCTTGTGTTTTCTGCCTTGCACAAAAATCTTTTGAGACATTTAAGTTTTGATGAGGAGATGAAAATAAAAACAATTAACTCTGATAACAGGGATGATAATTTCCTTTCCTTCCTTCCCCATCCCTCTGTCCTTTAGATGACAGGCCAAGGCAGCTCCACCCTGCATATCAAGACAGAGGAGTTGTCACGTCAGTACAACGAGCAGCTTGGTGCCATGAGACAAGAGAAAGACCTGGAGATAGAGAGGCTGAGGGTGAGAATGAAACAAGACTATGGTAATATGGCCTGGAAATTCATCCTCAGGATCAATTGTAAATACACGAGGAATGTTGGGAATTTCACCTGTCCCTAAGTATGTATACAGAATACTTAACATATAAAGACACACCAAGAAATGCTGCTCAGAAGTGTATCTTACAGAATAGATCAGCTTTATGGCAGAATGTTTTCATGTACATACTTAGACATTCCTCTCCATTCTTCCTCCAGGCCCAGATAACACGAATGCAGACAGAGGTCCGCACTAACAGCTCATCCTCAGACAAGAGTCTCCAGCTGAAGATCTCAGAGCTGCTCGCCATGTTGGAGCAGCGGCAGACCATCATCACCAGACAGGAGGAGGTTTGCAACATAACACACCAACATCCTGACACTTCATTCAGCTATTTTAGGGCCATTTAAGGAGAGAACTGAAACACAAAATGTATTGATATGGCACATTTCAAAATCAGAAGAAGAGAGATGTCCTGATGCAATACTAAGTATCGGTATCAGCACCGATCCCGGCATATTTCACAGGATTGTATTGGCCAGAATAAAGCCAATCCAAATCTGATTCTTATTTAGAACTACAGTCCTGTATTTGAGTGGACTCGGTCGCATTTTTGAGATGCGTGTCACGCAACCAATTCTCTGCTACAGTATGTTAATCAATCCAGCTGTGTTTACACTGCGCGTTTAGGCTGGTATATCACTTAGGTTTTAGCTTCCAAGTCTGTTTTTCTGGAGCTATGTGCATAAAACAGTCCACAGAATCCACCAAAATCACTTTGCCCCGCCACAAAAGCCTGGACTTCTAAGGCTAGTTACCAGCTATGAGCCAGGGCTAAAGCAGCTTAGCCATGAACCAGATGTCCCCGACTATAGTTCAGGTCCACAGATCTGGGTGGGTCACACCATATTCGAGAAAGTTACAACTAAAAAGAAGCTGAGTAACAGTTAATGTTCTATAAACACACTGTCACCTCTGCTGACACATGATCCTTGACCTCTTGTGGTCCTCAGGAGATCAAGAGGCTGATGCAGGAGAGGAGTGAGAACTCCCAGAACATCACCAAAACCATCATCACCAAGAGGTACGATGTTACAGCAAACCTGTCAGATTACACACGCACAGTATGGACTAAGTCACATTGTTTTTGGTCTGTACAGTAAAAATGATCATTTAATCAACTGAATGACAGAAGAGTTTAACCAGTTATTTTGATAATAATCTTCACTTATATTTCAAGCAAAAGAGTGAAACATTTAATGGTTCCAGCTTCTTAAAAATTAACTGCCGTGGATTAAGACTTACAACACAACCCTATTTGACAAGATGAGTAAAATGGATATTTAAGGTGATGGAGCCACCAGAAAGGAGAAATAACACATTTGACAGCAAACTGGATGAATTTAAAGTAAACTGAAAACAATCCTTTATAACCTCTAGAGTCCCTGCGTCCTCATATGAGGACCGCACAGCTTGGGTTTCCAAAGCTCAGGACTCTAGAGGTTAATGTTGTAAAGCCAAATTATTGTCTTACCCTACAGTGTTACAACTATCCACCATGTCTGTTGAAGCCATAATTGTACATATTCCTGTGTGTAGGTACAGAAATCATTACCCTATGCTTGGTCTGCTGAGTGACGACTACTTGGTGAACCCTCCCCCACCCTTCAAAGAAGACAAGACCATCCTCATTGAGAGAACTGGAGAACAGGTAAAAAGGGGGAAGAGAGGAAGGCAGTAGTCTTACTGTATATGAGATTGGAATTTTCCCAATTTCTTTAACATAATAAATGCAGAATAATATCTGTCATCCCAGACTACTCGTGGTTCCGCTACCAAGGCGTACCTCATCCTTCAATGACAGGATTTTTTTTTTTAGAAAAGACTGAGCTGGTTCTTAATTTTGTAGTTCTAACCATCATTTTTATTAGTCATGACAAGACTTTTGTTAACAGTTCTGGTGCTATGTAACAACACCGCTAGACATTATTCAACAATGCCAGAGATAGGACAATGCAGCAAATAGTCACAGACTAAGACCAGCCAAAGGCCACGAATGAGTATAATTTTATCATCTTTAAAACCATTTAACACCAACATAACCTCTTTCTATCAGCAGGAGTCACCAAAGCCATAGTCAAATCCTACACATTGTGTGAAGTGAAACCTAAGGTGTCCATAACCAAACTAACACTCTTGACAGTGACCTTTATTTTTTCACGTGTTTTCACTGTACTTTAGCTAACAATTAGAAAACACCTAAGATTTAGGTTATTAAAAAAGGCATGAGGTTTGCATTACAGAAATAAAGTGCTCTGCTTGTTGTCTGAAACGGTGATGGAGTAACAACTGTATCTGTGTTTTGTTTGAAACAGAAAACCATTACAACTTCTTAAAGACACACCGCTTCTCTGCAACAGGAGTAACTGAACGACGAAGAGCCCCCCCCCCTTCCCCAGGTGGTGGTTGAAAGCCCTCCTAATCTCTGGAATATACTGTATAGGGTGACTGTTTTGTTTGGGTTTCTTTTTCTCTTTTTTTATAAAAAAAAACTGGAGCAAATAATCCAATAATTCCTTTTGAGACTGTTCTTCAGCCAGGTGGTTGTGGGATGAATTATCGTAGCAGTAAAAATAATAACAACTGGACACAGGGTGAGATTTGTTTAACATTAACACACATCTCACCCTCAAAGATATTCTGCTAGAATAAATAAATTTAAAGTGACAACATCTCAACAAATGTCTGAGATCATAATTAACCAAGGAAAACTCTGTGATCCAGACTAACCGTTGTCTGCAAAACTAAATGTCATTTGAGAAACACTAATATTTAAAAACTTGCATTAAAGTCTATGCGACTAGCATGCTCACTCCTATAATATAAAAATATAATATATGATGTCTCACTCAGTCTGACTATACAGAGTCTGTCTACACACAAACACTCAAGCATAACATACAGTATTTCCATGGAGAACATACAATGATTATTTTGACCAGGTAAATAAAGTACATTATTAGCACTCTGCATTAGTGGTGGGAACTGTGACATGTTGGTCACGATAGAATCACCAAACGGGTGTTATACTGCAAGATGAACACCTGTGATCTATTACAATTTCTGTACCTGAAGACGATTTAATAAAAGATAGATAACTCCTGTATTCACTGTTTTCTTGATTTTAAAAAAAGGCATTACTTTCACTGAACTTTATTGTCTACTGAGAATAAAATAAGATGACACTAAACTGGTATTATGTAGCATAAGATCCGCTTCAACGCTGCCACAGCCATGCTAGCTCAGGAGATGACAAAGTGGATGCGTTACTATGATTGCTACTCTGCATGTAAATTGATATATTTAGAGTGGCCTTCCTGCAGTATGGTTTTGACGAACATCTGAAGACATGTTCTGATTAGGAAGTCTGCTTTTGTTTTGTGCTAAACAGTAGTTTGTATCTATCAACTGTGTCATTGTTATTCAAACCATTTTACTGAAGTTTGTGTCTTGATAGACTCAAGAGGTGCGGGGGTATGTGCTGCTCACATGTAGCTTTAATGTGTTTGTATATGACAGTGGGAACTGGGTTGAAGCTATGTCATGTCTCTTTCTGAGTTTTCCTGGTTGTCAACTGTCCAGGCTTCTTACATAAAAAGCATGTTGAAGGCTTCGTGTCCTCTGGGTTAGTAATCAGAACTTTGAGCTTATACTATGAACTAATGAATACCTATATATGTTTCCTGTCTTTACTTTCTTTGCTCCATTTAATCCATTTTCCCTAATTTTATGTCCCCTTCCTTCTCTTTGCCTTTCCTTACTTTCCTTGTTCCCTTCATACATCACCACTGCATCCCGCATAGTACTTCTAAGGTTCAGCATGGGACCCACAAAGTTTGCTAGTCTAAGTATCTGCAGCAGAGGGCGCCAGCTTCCCTCAGCAGCCTGCTCCCAACTTGAGGTCAAGGACTGGAGCTGATGGAGCAGAGACAGAAAATGAGGTCATTCCAGCTCTTTAGGGCTTGGCTCACTTGGCTCCTTGTCAACCGTTTTTACTGTTCTGACTGCTCCAATGGTCACGCAGAAAGAACAAACCATTACAGAGCACTGCAAATGGTCACGACTTTACTAACGTACAACCAGGTCTGGGACGTGACTAATTACACAGAGAAGCCTACCAATAATTAGCTGCTATATTTGATTATTGACAATGAGCATATTAGATAATCTGACTTGACATTCTGGAAAAGAGGTCAGTGGAGATCAACATTTTGGGGAAATACCCAAGTACACAGCCCTGAAACTACGTGCATGGAAAATAAGTGGTGTGCACAAGATAAAATTTGGACTGGGTACAAAAGAAAAAGTGTTAAAGAATGAGTGACACACATCTTATTCATCCTGAGATTATAAACTGTAAACTGTAAGAAGGTTATCCAAAAGTAAGGTAACAACAAATTGATGCTGCCCTTCATGCTCCACCTGAATTGAATTTAAGCTGTTAAAATCTGGAGAAGAGAATCAGTTTCAGAGAAGTGTTGATTCAACTGTATGGACATTTTTGGAAGATGTAGTTGGGGGTGCTGTTGTAGATTCTCTTATTTAGCCTTACTTGATTGGTATAAATTGGGTGGACAAAATAAGAGAAACCTGTCGGTATAATGCACCACAAATTACAGATGCCATACAGTTCAATCAGCATCTCTCTATTAGACTAGATTAGTCTTAACTACATGTAACCCTAATAAACTGCCAGCTGAGTGTATATATCCAATTTGCAGTCATGTTTCTAGCCACATCATGAATATACAGTAAGTGTAAAACCAGTTCCTGGAGAATCTCTCTGTCTACTAGCTAGTTGCTCACTTTGTGTTTGGTGATGGGCAGGTTGCATATGCTGGGTTTGTGAGTACGTTTTCACCAAAAACAGTAGCTACAGAAAACACCAACACAGACCAACAAAGAGCAGCAATAATGAGCCAAAACATTGAAGATGTGGGGCATGCTGTAAAACCAAGGCAATGAGCTGAAAAATGCCAAAATTGTCCAGTGGATTCACTATGGGCATCATTTTTTCACACTGTGTATAGTAATTTAATTCTTTGTTAATATACAGTATCTATATTCATTATAACAGTTTCAAGGTTGAGAAACCATCATGGACATGATTCAACAAATCCAGTGTTGCTGAGTGTCTTTAATGGGAAACAAACATCAGTTTGCTATGTCAAAATCCAAAGTTTTGTTGAGCCATCCATCCACCCTGACCTCTCCCCTCTCCAACTTTTTCAATTTCTCTCACACCCCCCCTAGTAAGCCTGCAAACATGTACTTTAGCCACACACTTTCTGCCATATACCCACATTTGTCCTTTTCACATTACCATGTAATATTTTGCACACAGCTACACATCCCATTTCTCACCATATACAGCTCTTTTAAACTTACATCACACTTCAGCTTATGCACTATATCTGATGTATTCTCGCTCTCATACTCTCTCACTCTGTAAACCCAATATCCTCTGAGGCTCGGGGGTTTTAGAGTGTAAAGGCAGTGCAGGGGCAGGAAGAAAGAGACTGCATTATCCACATCAAAGAGCCAGAGTTATCGGCCATAATCAATGCTTCCCCATTATGCACTCCACAGTCAGCCTCTTGCTCTCTCACTAATCAGATCAATATGCTTTATTGGCATGAATGAAATTCTGATATTAATATTGGTAAAAGAGGGGGGGTTTCATCAACAAAATTAGTAATGCACAGAAAAATGATGATTAATGGTTTAAAATAGTCCATAAGAAATCTGAACAGACTCCCCCCTCCCCCCAAACTTGTATTTTGGAGACTTGTGAAATATTAAATCTGACTTTTTGAAAGTCGAATGGGGTACAGAAACTAGATAAATAAAAGGCAGGACAAACAGCCAATCATAATTGTAGATATATTCAGGCCGATCATTGATACAAATGTTTATTTATTAGCATAAGAGCTATGCTATCAACGGCAAGGCATTAAAAGATATGAAGTACAAAAAATGCATATCCAGTATACACAGCTAGATACATACAGTAGCTGTACACAGATTCAGTGTACACCAAACATTCAGTGCATTTACATGAATCTAAATAACCAGGGAACAGTCGACCTTCTGCAATAATCTGGTTTCTTAAATGTCAAGTAAATGACAAACCTAATAACTCAGCTAAATGTCTTCTAAGGAAAGTTGATATCTGGGTTATGTGTAACCAGATTGTTAATCACCTTGTTACATGTGCATAAAGAAGACTTGAGACAGAGAAAGCAATTTTTTGATACACAGAGTGATATGTCCTGATAATCAAAGTGGAAACTGACAAATGTAGACACTAATATAGATAGCAAGTTTGTAGCCGAGTCACAAAAACTAATATAAATGACTCTAATAAAGCTATGATGAATTATTATGATAAAAGAAAAAGTATATAATGATTAAACAGTGATAAAGTAAGAAATCCTTCATGTGAATGGCTGCACTTATAGACAACACACTAAACAGAAGAATGAGCCAAATGAACATCACATTTTCTCACCGTCTTTCATTCATAATGACCCCTCTTCCTCACACAGCCAGGGCTATCGACCCCTTTCTTCCAGTAACCAGGCCCATGCCTGGAGTCAGTGACCCACTGAAACCCCCTGAATGGCTGCAGGGTCAGAAAATGAGTGTGCACCCCACCTCCGCAGTGGGGAGGCTTTTTATGGAGCCATGAGGCTGCAGCTCACACTGATGCAAATCCAGCAGCAGCACAATACAAAGCACAAAGCAGTCAGTTAATCACACTGTAACTCTCAACTTTCATTTGTTTTTGTTCTCTTTCATATTCCTCTTCCCTTATTCCTACTGAGGCTAAATGCACATGTTCTAACTTGCTTTGGATAAGGGCATGTACCAAACGAATGCAATTGGCATGAGTGGTGAGTCCATTGCTCTAAGATGCTTTTCTTCGAGTTTTGCGGTTTATCCAAAATGGAAACAAACCAGGACAAAGTCAGATCTCAGCACAAGATTCTCAATCTGTTAGCTCAGCCAAGAAGACTCAATGCTGCTATACATTAGGACTTGCAACATCTGGGCCTCTCAGTTAGCCGACAAGCCCCAGCCACTACCAGCCAGCCAGAAGAACGACAGAAACCGACAGTGTGAGCCTAATAATATGAGCCAACTACTCAGCCTGACATAATGCTAGCGTAAGATGAATAGGTCATCCTTATAGTGATAAAAAAAGTCACTCTAAAACCCCTGAGATTAAAACTAGCATCACTAGTATCCATTATGCCAGCTACAGTATACTGCAAATGAGGCCAAATCAAAACCAGAGGAGATGAGAAGACTTTAAATCCTAATGTAAGACCATGACAGTAAACTTAATGTAGCCTGAAAACAGTTCCAAACTTGCATTTCATTGGCAGTATTTTGAGTAAGAAGCAAGGAAGTACAATTAGTTATGTATATAGTATGCAAAATAGCACTACTGTACTTTCTTTTATTTCAAAACTAACACAGCCCGACCCCCTTGTGTTGCCAGGTCTGGATGACTGTTCAGTCTGGATATTTTAAGTTTTCCACAAGTCATGGCAGTCATCACTCTCTCTTCCTCCTCTGTCTCTCCACCCAACCAGGAAAATGTTGACAATGCCTATTATTCATCCATTTGATGCACTTATGTTGCTCTATACACACTTGAAGCTCTCCATTCACATTTTATGGAGTGATTAAAGGCCACATAGTGAAGTGTTGTTTCTCTCATAACTCTCAGCTTCTCCTGGTAAAACCTAACCTTGGGGACAGTTATGGTTCTTAACAAATAATCCCTTTCAAAGTGAACAATAAACCTTGTTCTGAGTGTGGCAGGATTTATTAGTGGCCTTTTGGACCCAAACCCTAAAACAGCTCTCCACCATATTTTTGCCTAGTGGTCACAGTTGAGAGTATACATCATTTGGCACATTACAAAAGTACAGAAACATTTTGCTACCAATTGAAAAAGGAATAAATTTCTCTGTTAGCTAAAACGTTCTCATTTTGAGGAGGACTTTTTTTCACATTGATAAGATAATAAATTCTCACTATAACAGGCTACTGTACCAATTTATTCAGTTTTGATGAGAACCTTTTTGTCATTAT